AAACAAGGCAGCACAGAAGTAATAAAAAGGCTTATTGACCCATAAACTGAGAGATCATTACAGGAGCGTGGTTTCTGTTCTGAGCTGCACGAATCCACATCTGATTAAATCTGTGCTTTTTCAAACTAAAATGACCCCTGATGATGGATGACCACGCAGCAAGTACCAGGGGCTGAAAAATAGATCAAACTTTACTTCAGAAATTAATTTTGTTTACAGCGTGACACAAAATTGCTTTGGGTTTACTTTAAATACTTCCCCCTTCATAACAGCTGCCCAGGGATGACTTAAAATAATTATCTCGTGCTGTTTTAATTTGAAAATCCTTTCTCAGGTTATCATGTTTAAAAGAGTTTCAGAAAACTTGACCTTTAACCTTGACAATAAGGTCACCTGAAAATGCTATAGTCCTGTGTTTGCAAAGTTGAATGCCCCGCCCACCAACCCACCTGCTGTCTGTCAGCCTTTTAAAGCCGAGGTGGGGTTATATTTATCAGTAGCAAATTTTCCAATGGCATCCCAGTGGGCCGGACTGGAGTCTTTGCCGGGCTGATTCTGGCCCCCGGGCCTTTTGTTTGACACCTCTGCTAACTAAAACATCAACCTGTTCATCACTTCACCTCGAAACATCTGAGCCGGAAAGAAATGAAACAGAGATGAGCTCCAATGATAATAATGCAAGACTGCTGAAAACCTGCAGCACTGATAATGTAACTTTGTGTTTTATTTTGAAAGGTAAGGTTCTCTTGATTCACTCTTTCATCCTGTTCACAAGCATAAAAAACACTTTACTACTCCACTCTTTATCTTTGCACACGCAGCCCAGAGAGACGCAAATGTCAGCTTCATCAGAATACATGAAAAGGTAGAAACTCACTGACTTTATGCAGAAAAAACGAATACAAGCTGCAATTCATCATCGCACGGTTAATTTATCATCAGCGTCTGGAGCTGGATGTTTTCTTTAGGTTTCCTCTCTTTAGAGGAGAATCTGGTTTCAAACATGAATCCCTGTGAAGTTTAAAGGAAAGCTGTGAACATAAATATTTAAAACAAGGATTTACACCATCAAGAGATCAAAGCCACAAAAGAATTTCCTTCTCTTGTTACGCATACCTGTTTCCAGAAACTGGATGAAGCTACATAATATTTTATATAAGAATCTGTGATGGTAGACTTCCTGTGTACTGCCAAGTTTTCCTCTGCTACCTGTGAAAACTCCATTCAAAACTCAAAACACTCTTCTGTAAAAAACAAGTATTTATTTAAGTTATTTATTTATTTATTTAAGTAATTTAAGTATTTATTTAACCGGTCGCAGCAGATGGCCCCGCCCCTCCCTGAGCCTGGTTCTACCGGACGTTTCTTCCTGTTAAAAGGGAGTTTTTCCTTCCCACTGTCGCCAAAGCGCTTGCTCATAGTGTTTTTCTCTGTATGTATTATTGTAGGCTTTTCCCTACAATATAAAGCATCTTTGGGTGACTGTTGTTGTGATTTGGTGCCTTATAAATACAAATGAATTGAATTAAACTGAAATCTGAATCTATTACTTCATATTCCACAATAAAGATAGCGAGCCTTAGTCAGGGCTATGAGCCGTGCTGCTGTGATTTTTCCTGGCATGCACATCCCTCAGGAAGTCTACAGCCTAAAGGGCAACCGCTTCTGGATCTGGCATTTCCCGTCTTTGGACTGGCTACAGTGATTAGTCGTCGAGCAGCGTTTGGCTGCATCGAGCCAGCGGGGGTTACATGTATGTATACACATTAATAACAGAACACACTGCTGCAAAGACCGACATATGACAACAGAACAGGGATCATTGAACTTATTCAAACTTCCTTTTACACCTTTGTTTTGTGGTTTGATGTGACGCTGTGCCCTTTCTCACAAAGCATTATATCATTTGAAACATAAAAGTGGAAAACATAAATCAGCAGAGGATTTTCCCACAAAAGTGCCCGTTTATACATGAAAGATGGATGTAGCCATTGTTGCATCACCAGCTGATTATTGAAGTGTGTGTTTTCACGCCTTAAGCTGAGGATCAAACCACGACCTGGGTGCTTTCCTGACACCAGCTTAGTGGTTTTGAAACTAAAGAAAACAAACCTGAGCATTTAGAGCAGCAATGACGCTTTTGCTCATACTGCAGTGTATACGTGACTTAACGTAAGGAGAAGCTGAATATGTCGTCTTCAGACTTCTGATTGCACGCTGCTTTGTAGTTGAACTGACATGACTTAAGTTACTACAGCAGCACTGAGCACAAACTCAGACTGATTCTAGCCTTCGGCGAGCCTTTAAAGTGAACATGCAAACAAGGTAGCGAGAATTAGGTCAAGGGAGGAGCGTCTAGAAAGAGATCAAGCTGCCGCGCGTCCCTGTCGGCTGAGCCACCTTTCATTTCAAATGCAGACGTGAGACTTGAGCAGAGCTGAAACGAAACATGAAGCTGAACCCATTTCTTTCTGGCCTGGATTTCACAGAGCGGGGGATCGGAGTAACCGGGTCTTCTAAGGAAACACAGAAGCTCCTTCGAGGCGAAAGCACTGCGACTGTGCTGTGCATCGCGGGCGCCGGCAGGTACACAGTGAAGCATGAAAGAGGTAGAGACAGAGCCACTGAGTCGCCGCACACACGGAGCTCCGAGTACGATTTCAGGGCACGCGACGA